AAAAGTGAAACAAGTGGAATGCAGTGTAACGTTCGCCGGTGGCGAAACGCGCACACCTGCCCTCTCGGATAGGATTGGATATTAACGGGAGGGAAGTGGTGTTTGTTCTGGGGGTATATATAGGATTGTACGGTGGTAGCTGGCTTGGCGGCGATCTACTCTGTAGACGGTGTAAATGTTGACTCGAGTCGAGTCGAGTCGAGTCGAGTCGAGTCGAGTCGAGGAGGAGTTAACATCGACGGTTGACAGGATTTAACAGGTATTTTCATATTCTCGCTTACAGGCACACATGTGAAACGCTCCGTCGTCCAACAGAGGGTTCAACTTCAAATTCAGATGCTGCAGTGTCGCGTCCTCGGTCTTTAACAGCGCGTAAACTATACCAGCCACGCCTTCCGCTCCTATCTCGTTGTTGGCCAAATGCAGCGTTTTTATATTCTTCTTCTTCTTCTGGCAGAGAAACTCGCCAACTGCCTGGGCTCCTTTGTCTGCCAGCTTGCAGTGAGAAAAGTCCATCTCCTCGATCTGAAATAGCGTTGAAAGATCCAAGAGTACGACGATGGAGAAAGAGCAGGCGAGATATTGGGCGAGAAATTGAAATTGTTAGATTACACGCATGATGTATGATGTACCTAGTATGTATCATCACCTGGTGTACACGTATATGCGTAGCAAATATATAATTGAGAAGAAACAGGATAATTCTGGGCTAGCATAGATTGATTTTTTTTTTTTTTTCTAAAAAAGCGACAAGCTTTAGTTAGTTCTACTACTAGTACCAACACTGTCATTCTCCAGCATCCCTTGAAGAAGAGCCGCCACACGTGGTCGATCCAGATTACTCCTGGTCAAAGTAAATTTCTTCAATCGCGGGCAAGCTTTAATCCCACGGCCAAGACCCACGCAATCCTCTATGGAAATCCTTGATTTTGTAAATTTCGTAAGTTTTATTCTTGCTTTTACTTTTATCTCATCTCGTCATCTGGATGACTACACGCACCGACACAGAGAGAAAGAGACAGTTTCTGTCTGTGTGGCCTGGAGAAGCAACTCACTCAAAGTCTCGCCACTCGAAACCGTCGTTCGTATAAACGAGCCCGAAATTAATGCGAATCTCGGTGAGGCGAGTAAACTGTGGCAGGATAATCTCTAGCGGGATGTGATGGACGGGGAGTGTTTCCTCTGCTAGACACGGATCTTCCTCGTTCACCGGTATCCTACGCTTCCTGCGAACAAATTTTCTGCAGATAGCAAGTCGCGCGCGTGTGCGTACCTGTGAGGTGGCTTATATATAT